GCCGGCCTGAGGGCAGCCCTTACCCGGCCCGGCCGGCCGTGCCCGCTGCTTTCTGCGAAGCGAATAAGAAAGGAGGTGAATTCAGGAAACTCCTCAGGGTTTTCTTCTTGTCGTGGCCAGCAGACAACAGTCGCCGTCTGCGGTGCTTTTGTGTGATGTTGTCACTTCCAAAACGATGTTTTCACCGCTCGTTTCTTTTTGAATTGGGTAGGGTGACAGGGAGGCCGAGGGGACCTGGGGCTGTGTATGTTCAGTCAGGTTTCATCATGGAGCCTCACGCATCTGTGCCCATCGCCGCGCTGGGGAGAGGAAAGCAGCAGGGCCTATTTCTGAAGCTGCCATTTCTGTAGGCCCCGTTTGGCTGCCTGCTTATCAGGACTCGTTTGCTATCTACACGATTTGTTTTTGTTTGCTTTTCAGTGAGGTGGGGTCCTGGTAGTAATGTCTCTGGCTTTCAGCACCTTTCTCAGTAAGCGAAAACACCTACTGACTGAGTGACTGAGTTTGCAGAGGTGCATCTTTGGTTAGGTGCTAAAAACTGGCAGTGAAATACCGCTGGAAGTAAAGGTGGAAAGTGTTGAAGGAAGATGGTTCAAATGGTTGAAAAAAAAGAGCCTGCAGGCCAAATCCTAATGGTTGAAAAAAGAGCCTGCATGCCAAATCCTACCTCATGTGAGGGGCACCCTTTGTGCGTTAATGTATGCCTCGATGCTGCAAGTACTTAAGCGTATGCTTGACTTTATGTGTGCCTATAGTTCTGCAGTCTTTAGCAGGACTGTTCAGGTTTTAAAGTTAAGCATGTATTAATTATTTGCAGGTTCCTAGTTTGCTCTTTTAGTGGTAGAGTGGCAACTGGAAAGAAATGTTTTAAATAATGATGAAATGACTTATTTGAAAACTCTTTATGACCACATATGAATGCCTTCAACAGACAGTGCTTTCATTGGAGTAGAAACAGAAATTAGTGGCTGCCTGACTAAAGAGATCTTGTTATGGTGAGCTGAGCCACATTTTGAATAAGAGCGGATGACTGAGAGGTGCAGGAGTGGAGGAGAAGTTATTCCTTCAGGCCTACCCATTCAAGATACCTAATGAAAGTTATTCCTAGAAGAACGTTTACATTATTGATGTGTACAAAAATACCAAAAAGAATTGCACGCACTTGAGATCCATAAAAAACTAGGAAGAATGAATCAGTTGAATGGAAAAGGGGAAAAGTAGACTTAATAGGGACTAGATGATCTTATTTAATTAAAAAAAAAGCAAAACAAAACCAGAAACAGATTGATAACATCATTTTGCAAGTGACTGCTATCAAATGACATGCTCTATGTCCTCGCTCAACTCTGGTGTCCCTTTTAGAATTGCCTCATCCTACTAACACCACTGTGATGGGTCTCCCGATAATAAATACTGCACTAAATTGCATTTACAGGGTTGTGACAAATACTGAGCACCACATGCTAGGAAAGAAACATGGAATCACAAAAGCAAGAGGGTATTAAGAATGTTTCTTACTTTATCTAGGAAGTTTGGCCACTAATTCAAAGACAGAACTGAGAAATAGAAACTTTTAACCAGTTTGGGGGCTGTATGTGACTTTAAATCGTTGTTTCAGTCTCTCTTTAATAAGTATGCGGGCTACTTAGCTGTGCTACTCTGAAAATGAAAACTGGTGTAAATCCTAAATATTAGATAAGTCCACCTTGATGCTGCCTGCTGTTTTCAGAACCTAGAGACTTTGGAGCATCATTTTTACTTGCTGTTATTGTTGCGGGGCAAGTATAGTTTGTGCAGCCTCAAGTGGACTCTGTTTCAGCCCTGAATATCAGCAACAGAACTGGTAACTAAGATATAAATTCTCAAAGGTTTTGGGTGCCTACCTCCGGAGGAATTCAGTTGCAGCTGAACAGTCTTCAGCTGAGCTGGACACTGAAATACACTTGAAGTGCCTAGGCTTAGCTTTCATTGGTAGGGCTACTTTAAATCAGAATTATTCCGCTAGCCCTTCTCCTCTGTCGTTTCTCCTGCACATCACTTGTATAATGCTCCCGTCCTGCCTCAGGGCCCGCAGGGCTGCAGATTTTAGAGAGGTGTGTTTAAATAGTAAGAGTTCCTATGTTATTAGATAATCGTTGTTCTCTTACCCTCAATATGCCATCTCTCTGAACTGTGACGAGGAGTTCCAAAGGTTGACAGGCTAATACACACAGGGGTATTTGCCTTTTACTTGTTGTGAGTGTACTGCTCTTTAATTGACTGCCTTCATGACAGGACTGTGATGAGGCAAACATAAGGGACCAGTTGCTTTTTATTAAGACTTTTTCTTACCTTGAATAACTCAAAATTTTCAGTCTTTTCTGCCTGAATTGTCCCAAGTGTGTGAAATCATAGTCCTGATTTTCATTACAACTGAATCCTAATTTTTGCCATCTCTTACCATCTGTCAATCCTGCCAGTATTTTAGATATTTTTGCCCTTTCTGGATTTCTCTGCAGAATCCAGATGAGCAAGCACCACTGTGGTATCATTGTCCCAACAGAGCATCCTTAAATTGGGTTGGGGAGGTTGGTGAGAATGGTGGAGGGGACTGCAATCTTCGTTCTGTTACCTTACTTCAGAGCAGAACCGAAATGGCATTTCTTTATGGGGTTAATATCAATGAATCTGTGACAGTTTATCTTGCCCCCAAGATGTTTTCTCTTTGCTATGCATTTCTGATATACTTTCATGCCAAACATATTTCAGGAGTGCTACATCTCAGCAACATACTAAATGTAGCGTACAATAACAAAGCAGCAAGTTAGACTTATTTTTTCTCTTATCTTGTGCTCTTCACTCATGTTTCCCTAGACAAAATAGCTTGTCTGCAAAGTGGTCACTTGGTGTTCAAAGGACTTTTGTTTGTGTTTGATTTGGGCTCTCAGGAGATGTTTCATCTTCATAGTGAACTCAAAAGGTACTGCTCCAAAGTCATTAACTGCATAATTGTTCAGAACAAGATTTATTCTTCTTGAACCCACTTTATTTGATGTAGTGACCTCACATTACTGATTGTTTTAATATTGTGCTGCTATTAACAAATTATGGTGACAAAATTTAATGCATGGCTTGCAAGCATGTGCAGTCTTAATTTTATACTTGAAAGCAGTGACCATTATAAACAGCTGAAGAAATAAAGTAAACCTTCAAGCATTAGTCCTTTATCAGATTTTCCCTCAGGGCAAACCTTCACACTAGTAAAGTAGCAAGACCAAAGGAAAACATCAAGTGACTGCTGTAGTTTTCCTCATTTCAGTCAAGGGAGTGTGCGTGCACTTCCCCTTTGTGTCTGTTTGGCCCAGTTTCTGCTTTCTTCTTCTAACCTGGCAGTACTTGTTATTCTTTTATACCGTGTTTTCTTCCCTTTGTGAACTTGCCCAAAAGATATTGCAGGTTATCACCATCTTCGGTTGTTTCCATCCTTTTCAGTGTTGAATTGCACTTCTGAAAAGCATACCTTAAAAATATGACAATAATTTTTAAATGCACAAAGGAATTGCTGTTAAATACTGAATACTTACAGGTTTCTTTCCTGTTGTACGTTATTTTTTCCCCCTGCCTAAACACAAATTCTGTATACTTTTGAAAACTACGTGGAATTGTATTTTGGACAGATTTTATAATGAGCAGACTGTAGTTCTGGCCAAAGATCTATAATTCTCCTGAGAACAGCAGTTTTCCTGGAAAGAG